GGTTTCACTGTTCTCAAGACGGAGGTCGAAAAGGTTGCCAACAAGCCTGTTGATATGACCGTCAATCACGAAATCCTCGATACGCTCAAGAAGGGCCTAGAAGATGTCCGGGCTGACCTTGACGTTCTGAAAGAAGCTCAAAAGAATGAGCAAGCCGTGGCGGAGATCTCCGACGGCGCTATTGTCCCACTTACCGAAAACATTTCCCGTAGTGACATTGAGAAACTTGAGATGCTCATCACTCAGCTCGGCATCAAGGTAGCGGCAATTGAGTCCACGGAACCACCAGCACCACAACTTGCTCCTGGCTCTGTGACCAAAGAAGACTTGGCTGCTGTTGAGGAAATTCTTCGGAATGTTCAAAACAAGGTGGATGATGTTGTTTCACGCGAAGTCATTCCCGAGGAAGATAGAATCAAGAAAGAAGACCTTGACGCTATTGAGATCTTACTTCACAATACAAAAGCTAAGCTTGACGAAATTGACCCTGAACAATCTGCTAAGAAGGAGGACATAGAAACCATGGGTACTCTAGTTATTGAAACTCGAGACAGCCTTAACTCATTGTCTGAACATCTCGAGGAAGTTTCGAAGAAAGATGACATCAGCTCCCTTGAAAGTGTAGTTCGTGAAGTCATGGTTCGTCTTGCAGAGGTAAAGGAGCAGGTCGATACCGAATTCAAAAGTCTCGACAAGATTACCAAGACGGATGTTAAAGCTGTTGAATCTGTTTGCATCGACATCAAGACCGCCATTGAGAAAACCGTCGTACCAGAATTTGTAGCTTTAGCCACCAAAGATGAAGTCAACAATTTAGGTACCCTGGTCAAGGAAACCGCAGGCCAAATTGAGGTACATGCGGAGACGAATGCCAAAGCTTTCGAGGAACGACAGGCCGAAATTGTTGGTGTTAGCGAACGCGTCACAGAAGTCAAATCTTTCCTCATGGAGTTCAGGGATGCAGTCAAAGAAAAGCTTGATGAAGGTGCAATCAATGTAGAGACTGTGCGCACATTCCTCGATGGTCTTGGGCAGACTATCAATAAAAATGGCACCATCGCCGATGATTTACAGGCAATGTTCATTGCTATGACTGAAGAGTTTGAGAAGACCAATGCTTGTATGGTCGGATCTAAACTCGAGACTGACGAGAAATTCCAACAGACCTGGGATAAACTTGATTCTCATTTCGAGGAGAAGTTCAATGAAGTTATAACCAAATACGATGAACTCCAGAGCTTCTTGGAGGAAAGGGCTACAGCTGGTGTGGAGAAAACTACAGAAGTCGAGGCTAATATTTTGAGCACGAAACAAGTCGCTGAAGATGTCAAACTCCTACTCGACACCTTGACAATTGCCGTTGCAGACTCTGCCGAGAAGATGGATGAAGCTTCAAAGACTGTCTTTAACCGTGTTGACGAAACATTTGTCAGGGCTGAGGAAATACACGCCGAGGCCAAGGTCGAGCACCAACTTACACGCGAACAGATCTTGAAGACCTTGGGTGTTATGGAGGGGGTGCAAGGAACTGTAACAGAGTACAATCCCCAAATTCTTGAATCGATCAAGGATGTTCTAAACGTTGTTGGCCAACACTTTGAACACTCCAAAACATCATCCAATACGATACAGGAGAAAATTGCCGATATTCCCCCTCCACCAGAAATTCCGCCTCCTGTTGAGTTTCCCAAATATGATGATACACCAGTCCACGAGAAGCTTGATAAGCTTGTTGATCACGTACAAGAAGCCGGAAAGTCGATAGCACAATTGGAGATGCTTGATAAGATTCATCAGCAGATGCTAGCGACTGCTACAGAAGTCTCCCAATTTGTCACCAACCAAACTCAGAGAATTGCAGACGATCATGAAAGCAAGGAACAGGCTGCCCAAGAAGCTGCAATTGCCCTTGAGAAAAGGCTAGGCCAAAAGGAACAAGTTGAAGCATCAATTGCTTCGCTTAAAGGGGAAGAAAAGGTCTTGAAGGAATATGTTACCAAGCTTAAATCTGACAGAGAAGACTTGATTCATCAAAAGATGCGACTTGCTTCTGATGTCTCTAGCTTAGAAACAGCTTTAAGAATTCGACGTGAAGAATTGCAGGAAATGGAAGAAAGAGCTGAAGGTCTTGAAAGGCGTATTCTTGAAGGAGTCATTGATCATTCACGGGCTCTTTTGCTATCAAGGGGTAACAGGAAGTCCGCACGGGATCCTATGAGTCGTAAGCGCGTTCCAACTCAACGCAATTCAACTGCCAATTCTATCACCTCGAGCGTTGCATCAAAGACCCCATCTGTAACCCAAGCAGCCGTCAACATGGCTATGAAAAATCGTTCTCCAGCCAAAGGACCTATTGCCAATCAAGCCCAGCGACGTATTTTATCCTTAAGTCAAATCAACAACAGTATCCCCCCCGGCAATTTTAAACGCAGCCACAGTGTCAAACAATCTGGTGGTTCTGCTTCACGAAAAACTAGCTGGGGAGGATCATCAACAAACAAATCCCGCGCTTATGGGGAGTTGAATAAAGAAAATTTGCAACTGAAAGAGCATGAAGACGAAGACGAGGAGAATAGGGTGCCTGGTGACCATGATGAATCTACTGAGGGAACTGGCAACGAAAGTGATTCTCATACGATGAGAAAAAGCAGTCATGGCACCACGGTTATTACCGCCAACGGTTCAACAATATCGGGTGTGCATGAAGGATCGGAGGGTACTGAGAGTATAGATGGAGATGCGGAGTCGGAATATGAAACAGAGACAGAGGTGGGAACGGGGAGTCACCTGGAAACGGAAAGTGAGCTGTCAACGAATAGTGCGGGGCCGAAAGATAAGGCGGTGGTTTTGTATGAAGAGGTTGCATGATTGTTGACGCTGGAGCGTTGGATTTATAGGGAGGGACTTTTCTCGTTTTGTTCCACAGCTTTTAAATGGCAGTGGTCTAATTCTTGTATCTTTTTTGGCTGGAAAGGGGTGGATATTTTGCTAGGAAGCAAAGGGGTTTGCGACAGGACCTACTTTATACCCATGTGGGTTTCTTGATGAAGTCCTTAAGTTTATGATAGTATTTTAGTTTTTAATAGCGTTTTAGCGATTAGTATATCTCTTTGTTTGTGTTCTCTTCCAAAGATTTCCCGTCTCGGTCTACAGATAGTAAATTAGTAGTAGTAGTAGTACATGTTTTATCTTCTCATTAATTCGGCCTCATTTGATTTCATCCGTTGCATATGTGAACATAAGTGTGCTATTCACGCGACCTTACTCCCTCTTCAAGACCTTCCTACCACCCATCCACGGCCACAAACACTCAGGAACCTTAACCTCCTTCTTCTCCTCATCCCACCCATTCTCCAAAATGGCAGCCACCACCCGCGGAACCGCCACCGCCGTCCCATTCACGGTCCACGGAAACGCGACCTTGCCCCCATTTGCCGCGATATCAACCTTGGTCGCCAACCTCCTACTCTGATAATCCCCACAGATGCTCAAACTGGTCACCTCGCCCCAGCCCTCATCCCGCTCTCGCCGCGAGGGGAAGAACGCTTCAATGTCGATCTTGCGCATGGCGGAGGCGCCGAGATCGGTCGACGGCATCTCGAGGATGCGACAGTGCAGGTTGAGGGCGGTGAGGATCTCGATCTGCAGGGCGAGCATCTCATTGAAGATCTCCGTCGTGGCGGCGAGGGAGGGCAGGGTCCAGGCGAACATTTCGACCTTGGTGAATTCGTGCACGCGGTAGAGCCCCTTGGTGTCGATGCCGCGGGCGCCGGCTTCCGCGCGGTAGCAGCGTGACGCGGCGATGGTTTTGAGGGGGAGGTGCGCTTCGCGCATGGTGGTGTTGGCTCTCATGCCCGCGAGGGGAATCTCGGCCGTGCCGGCCATGGAATGCGTGGGTTTGGCGCTGTCGGCGTCCGCGGGCGATTGCGCGATGGAATAGATTTGTTGCTCGTCGGATTGGTCGCGCGGTTGGAAGCCGCATGCGGCGGCGATGTGGGAGTAGATCATCGTGGGGGGGGAGACGATGGACCATTTTTTGGAGAGGGCCAGGGAGAGTGAGTATTGGATGAGTGCTTGCTCGAGGAGCGCTGCCCCGTTGAGCAAATAGTACCAGCCCCAGCCGGAAGTGGTGGCGGCGGATGAGAAATCGAGGAGGCTGAGCTCGTTGCCAATGTCGACGTGGGAGCGCCATGCTCGATCGGAGGAGGCAGAGAGGATGGGCTCGGGGTGCTCATTGATGGTCCCTATCACCTTTGGTTCTGAGCCGCGCGGGGTGGAGTCGGACGTTAGGTTGGGGATGGAGGATGCGAGGATATTGATCTCGGTCATGAGGGAGCTTTCGGAGCATTCAATTTGTGAGATTTTATCTTTCAAACTTCGTGCTTCGGCGATTATCTCTTCTTTTGAGAGAGCTCGTAAGCTTTGCACTTCTTCTGAATCATCATCTCGTAGTGATTTTGGATTTGCTAATTGGAGCTTTAATTTATTATTCCTCTCTCTTAAAGCTCTTCCATCCCGTTGATGTTCGTGCCATTGTTCAAACAGAGTTAGAATCTTTGCTGGATATGTAGATTGAAGCTTGTAATTCCTCTCTATACAGCTCTTCTCGTACAATTCGGGATTGGTTCGTATGTGTTTGATATCGATTGAATGTTTGGGCGCTATAGAAGGTTTGAGGATGTCTGCGTGTAATCGGGGAGAGACATGATAGAGACGGCGACGAGGAGGTGAAGGCAAAAAGGAATGACGTTGACATCTCAAACAAGTAAATGGAGATGGAAGTCGCTTGCTGCTTGACATTTTGAGGATGAGGGTGGTGGGATGAAGATATAGAATTGGTCAAAACTTAAATGCGGGGTCATTTTCGCTAAAGGTATGTTTCATCTCCACTTTTCGCGTTTCAGTCTTGGAGCCATAGATGTCAAGAAGAAAAAAAAATGATATAATTGCCAAAATGGAAGACGCAGCAATCGGATTCAAACCGATTAACCTCAGGGTAACTCCCCACGCAGGGCTCGAACCTGCAGCCTCAAGATGAACTATTTCGAAATATCTAATAGAAGTCTTGCGCGCTACCATTGCGCCAGCAGGGATATCTTCACGATATATTGTCATGTTTGATGAGTGGAGCTGACTCACTTTAATCTATATACCCCACATCATAGCACCCTATACCGCCTTTGTATTGCCATACAAACTGACATGTTCCTTATCATCACCAACCAAAGTGGTTTATAGTTCTACAGGAACTGGAACCAAAATAATGTTAATGCTTTAATTTACAAGAGCAATGATCTGCTGGATAACCTCCTCCTCGGTGCATCATAACATTTGAGCCGCTCAATATCTTTACGGGACATCGTCTCAAAGCCCTTCAAAAGCTTCACACATCCTCCCATTTGATCGTTGTTCCTTCAAATCAAATTTATACTCCCTGATTGGGACTCCAGCTTCAGTACCCTTCCTGCTTTCTTGCATATTGAAAGTATCGACACCGAAAGCAGAATTCGTCTTCAGAAGATGTTTGGTCACCCGATCATCTTGCCACTCTTGCCATGATGTTCCCTCATGATCAGCAAGTCTTTGAATATCATCATTTCTTCCATCGTCATTCCAGATACCAGGGTCGACACATGGCCAGACCAGACCAGCACTAAAGCCCGGGTTGAAGACGGCTCTCCAATACTCACTTTCGAGCGTCACTAAACCGGATGGGCCAGTCCACGGCTAGAGAAATTGATTATCGTGATCTTTTGCCTAGCAAGTGAGTGTCTGAAATACATTCATTACCTTCTTTGGATCAAAGGTTTGAAACGGTAACCAACGAAGACAACTATTGAATAGCTAGAGATGGAGTAAAGCTAGATATCGATAAAGTATGCACCGGATAATCTAACTATGCGAGAGATATGCTCCTGGACAGATTTTGGATGATGTAAAAATAAAATCCCGTTAACAGATTTATCACATCACTCGTCAAATCTAGGCCTAGAATTGGGATTCTAATGAATTGATCTGCTTGCTTCCTCGACCCGATGCCACAATAATGTATGTATGTATTTCCCTTGCGGATTTTCCTAAACCGAAGCGTGGATTACTCACACACGAGCTTCGAGAGAAAAGTACTAGTACTGTGGCAAGGAAAAGATAGATGCATAATCGTTGGTATCACCTTGATGAAGATGATTCAAAGCTCTCTATTATATTGATTGATGGTTACAAGTAGTTGCTTGCGGCTAATCTAGGTTTAGGCGACGAAGTGTAGTCTTCTTGTGCGCTATGCCATGCCATGCCGAGCTCATGATTCTGTGCCTCTATATATCCACTCACCTCGCCACAATAATAACCCGAAATCCCCAAGTGATGTTGCACAAGCATGTTGTCAAGGGTCAAATATCCTGTGGGAGCATCACACACAAAAGTCTAGAAACGTTTTACTTTGTGCACTGTACTTCTACGTAGCACTAAGGAAGGGGGGGGGGGACGCTCCCACATCCGGTCCCACCCAAAAGAACTGCAGTTGGCAGCTACTACTGTACTGGTAGGTAAGTAAGTAGAATAATACAACTAGAGCGACTACATAATTCAACCAATACGGCCGTATCCACAACCATATTAACAACATAGCTGAACCCAAACAAGAAACTGATAGAACCTAGAAGAATCACATACCAACTTGTGGTACTGTAAATCAAACTCAACTCGATGTTTTTGTTGGTGAACAACGCCCCCGAGACCTTGCGGATAGACACATAAATATTTAACCTTTGCTCAAGGAGGAGGAGAGTCAGTAGGAATAAGAAGCCAAGTTTAACCGCCACGATGAAAGTTCAAGTAAGCATCGGGATGACAATGATGCGATTTTAAAACCCGAAGATTTGCTGCAAAAAAATTAAAAAATTCCGCAGGCATGACGGCCACCTCTGAATGATGAAGCAAGGCTTCCGCGAGGTACCGGTACATTGATTCCATACCAACGAGTGAGTATTTGAGGTCAAGTGCAACAACTATGCAGCATGTGCCGATGAGCAGGAAGTCATCGTATCTATCGTCCAAGCCAGAGTTCAGCTGAATGTGAAATTGAACGCAAAAGCGGAATATCGCTGAGGCTAGACCCACAGCGAGAAGGATACCAGTTGACACGTGTAGCTAGAGACTAGCAAGTGGGTTCTCGTATTATAAAGGCTTTCTTGTCGATCCCTTCCCGGGGTGACCTTTTGGATGCCCATGATGCAAAAACAACAGCGTGCAGCCAAAGAGCTCTGAATGACGCTTGAAATGGGAAACAAAATAAGACGTGAAGTGGCCAAAGTGGTAGTAGGCAGGTGATGCGGAAGGCTTCCCTGGTTATCAGATGATGCATCAGATAAGGCATAGAACAGGAAGGTGCACATCTCCCTTTCTATTCGAGGATAACTACCCCCAAGTCGTAAAATCCTTCACAGTGGAAAGCCGTGCTAACTTTTTCTGTGCCGTTTCTGCATGTTGGTCGAAGTCCACAGGGGTGATACATTCTCAAGTAGGTGAGGAATACGTAATCGGTTTTTCGGATACCCCATTTAAGCCCCCCTCATCAAGAACCCCTGTAACTGCGATATATCAATTGCCCGTCGTCAGCCGCAAGAAAACTCCTCGGCTTGTATGAATACTGGAGGCTTCCAGGTAATATTCACCGAAGAACCTGGACTCCAGGTCCTTGGTGACCATAGTTGGAGTGACATGGGATTAGATTCTTCAAGCAGCCAGTGTCTGGTTTGAATAGCCGCCGAGATAAAGCGGACAACTCGACGTCTTGGTATCCAGTCTGAATCGTTGACAGATATTAAGCCCACAAAGTTACCTGCAAATTAATCCCAGACTTTCTTGGCCCATCTAATGTTCCAGCCGCGCCGCATTCCCTGGGCAAATGACTGTTGCAAGTACAGACGACAGACATCTTGAAGACGGCCTCTATCCAGAAAGCTGCAAAACGTCTTGTTTGGAACTCCGCTAACTACCATGATAGCTAGAAATGCTTCGTTCGATCGATGTGTCCATGTTGGGGTGCATTAACACAAAAGTGTCAAAAATGACGAGTATATCTTCTGCCCATTTGTCCATGTTGTATGGATGCATATTAGTTCTATGAACATTGACTTTACTCAGGACCCTCCAACACGCCCCTCAATGGCGAGCAATATAAGTGACTGGAGTCACGTGATATCCGGGATTGATGGCCGCAAATTTTCAAGCCTGGAAACGATATTGCAATATTTCAACCAACAACAAGATGCAATTGCAATAACAAGCTTGGAAACAATAACACATCTCAAACTACAAGATGCAACAGTGATTCAACAAATCAGAGCGGCATACATGGCAGCCATCGCTATTGCGTTCTCTTTTCTTCTGAATTATGTTTTCACCCGCCTATCTTTCGAAAGGGGTCGCCGATCCAACGACGCTGCACTGGCAACTCCGCCAACCATCCCATACTGGCTCCCATTCCTTGGCAGCAGTCTGGATTTTGGCTTTAACGCTCTTGCTTTCATCAGGTCATCGACGTATGTTCATTCCCAGACCATCCGTGAAATGATCCTTGCTAACAATCTGTACAAAACAGCAAACTAAGCAGGAACTCCCCGTTCTGCGTTTCTCTCCTGAACCAGAAGATTTTCTTCGTCCAGGGTGCAGAAAACATCGCGGCTCTTTGGAAGAAATCCAGTACAATGACCGGAACACTCCTACATTTGTTCTGCCTGAAATATATCTTCGGCATGCCATCTGAGGCCCTGGAGATGTACGCCAAAGACAATTCGGGGTTAGCAGCTCAACCACCCCCAGGCAGCTCTGTGGCGCCCAATAATAGAGTAGACTACAGAACTCACGTGGGCATGCTCAAATTTACAAAAGGAGCTGGACTTTCCAACTTTTGCGACCGCTTAGTCACAGGGTTTCGTCGAAGACTTGCGGCACTCCCGGTAAGTGACCAGGAGTGGCTTGAACTCCCGGACTTTATGGCGTTCTTTAACGAAAATTTCGGATCGGCCCTCATTGAATCCATTTGTGGGCCTAGTCTAACTCGCCTGAGCCCTGACTTCGCGAAAGACCTCTCCACATACGACACGAAAATTCCTGGTCTACTGAAAGGCCTTCCCCGATGGCTGATTCCAGATGCGTATGACGCGCGAGATAAGCTCTTGGCATCAATCAAACAATGGCACGCATTTGCCAGGGCTCATTTCGAAGAGGCATCGATTTCAGCTGATGGTGATGCAGATCCATATTGGGGTAGTTTATTCATCAGAGAACGACAGAGTAAGAATGGAATTTTTGACACAACAGACAACTTCAGCGAAGATGCGCGTGCGGCGTCGGATCTTGGCTTCATCTGGGCGCAAGTATGCCATCATTGTACTTTGAAGATCCCATACTGATCAGTGCTAGTGCCAACACGAACCTTGTCCCTTCAGCCATGTGGGCGGCACTTGAAACATTCAAAGACCCCGCGGTCCTTGAAAGAGTCCGCACTGAACTATCAGGCGCATTTGATCCGAATGCAATTCACCGCGCTGCGTTTGATGCTTACACACTCCAGACGCTCCCTTTATTGCAGTCGATATATGCCGAGACGCTCCGCCTTCGCGTGCGCGCATACGCGGCAAGATATACCGATCGCGCTGCATTTTCGATAAAAAACTGGCTCTTTCCCAAGAAGAGCATTATCCTTGTATCAACCACCGAGGCACACATGGACGAGTCTTTCTGGAACACGAAAGGTGGAATGCACCCCATTACAGAGTTTTGGGCCGATAGGTTCTTGATCTATGAAGACGACCCGACAAGCGGACCACAGAGCAAGGCGCAGCTTTCGCAAGCGCAGCCCAATGACTTGAAAGAAGCGGCGGCTGGCCCTGCCAAAGGCCCCAAGTTCTCGCTAGCAGGTACAAATGGTTCGTGGCTTCCATATGGTGGTGGCGCTCGTGCATGTATTGGGCAAACATTTTCCAAGCGTGTAATGCTCGCTGCATGTGCGATAATGGCCATGGAGTTTGATGTGGAGATTTTGGCAGGCGAAAAGGCTTTAGAGATGGATCCAAAGTTCTATGGGCTT